CGAGCCCGTGTCCCCTGCATCAGCAGGCGGACTCTCAACCACTGCGCCACCAGGGAAGCCCCTAGTCTACTCTTTATACCTCAGTTTGGGCAGATATTTTACACAAATCCACATTAAATGATTTGATCTGTGTCTCAGTTCTATCTGTAAAATGGGTATAAAGAGACTTGACTTCATTGGATTATTATCAGAGTCAAGTGAAATAATAAACATGTAAAGCATGTGTCTTATATGAAGTAATCTTTGATAATCTGTAGCTATTATTGTTATATCAGAGAAAAGGAAAATACTGGACATTAGATTTTGTTTGTTCTTCACAATGGGTCAGATCAAAAGTTAAGTCTGTAAAAGTCTGACCTGTCCATTGTTTTCATAATTGGCGACTTGCCGCTTCTTCAGTAGGCCAAGTTATTTAGGTATGTAATATCCAGAAAAACCAAGATGATGGACCTACTTGCATTATTCAAAGCATATAGGGAAAATTATATGCAGTTTGCATTACATTCTAAAAGGAACATTGAAAACTTAAAGCAGGTCAAGAATAGAAGAACCAAAGTGTTGTCAGAACTTGAAATGTTGTTATAGGAGGAAGGTTGAAGGAACCGTAGATGTTTAGCTTAGGAAAAAGTGAAGAGGGAAGGGGTAAGGAGGTAGACATGGAAACTGTAGATATTTTCAAGACTGCTACTATGTAGGAGACTTATTTTTGGTGGCTGGTTGGCATAACTAGAGTCTATGGATAAAAATAGCCCAAGGACAGATTTTTGCCTTAATTTAAGGAAAAATTTGTCAATTAGAACTATCTGAAGAAAGGAATGGGCTGCTTCAGGAAGTAGTGAGGTGTTTAGATTGGACAGCCAGTTGTTATTGGAAGTATTACAGTAAGATGTTCATTTATTGGATAAGGGCTGGACCTCCAAGCTGCCCTTCCAGTACAGAGTCAGTGACTTAAATTCTGATCCCCGCTTGTCAATAATTACTGTGTAGATTTGACACTGATACAAATGCAAGCATCATTTTGTGTTGCCCATTTTTCTAAATGCAGTACCCTTTCCACCTCTGGCAGATTGTAGCAGTTATCAAAAAAATGATTTGTAGTTACTGTCAACCTCCTGGAATTAGGTATTATAGATTCGTAGTTAAATATTAATAGATTCATAGGGTTGTAAGGGACCTGAAAGGTCATATAATCCAGTCTTGTAGATGTGATTCTCTAAGGATGTTTGATCACTTTTTCAGCATGTCCTCTTTCAAAGAGAGTTATTTTATAATGTTATTCTAAACTAATTGTACTTTTTAGTAAAACTGGATCGTCTGTTATCAGAAAACTGGTGTAGGAAAGCTGGCATGTGGGCAGTACTTTTGAGAGGGAACAAGAAAACAGGTGGTTGTAAGGCCTTTTGAAATTAGCTGCCCACTTTCAAAGGCCTTGTAGGTTTGTTCTCTGACATCATTGACAGGATAACACCATGGTGATAACTTTACTAGGCCTAATTAGTTTTTCTGTGCTTTCTTTATCTCAGTTAGTGAATTTTCATAAAAATAAGAGCAGAAGACTTTTTTGTTTTGTTTTTGTTTTTTGGCTGCATTGGGTCTTTGGTCTTCGTTGCTGCGCACGGGCTTTCTCTAGTTGTGGCAAGCAGGAGTCTACTCTTTGTTGTGTGCAGGCTTCTCATTGCGATGGCTTCTCTTGTTGCAGAGCATGGGCTCTAGGTGCACAGGCTTCAGTAGTTGCAGCATGCGGGCTCAGTAGTTGTGGCTCACGGGCTCTGGAGCACAGGCTCAGTAGTTGTGGCACACGGGCTTACTCTGCGGCATTTGGGATCTTCCCGGACCAGGGCTTGAACCCGTGTCCCCAGCATTGCAGGTGGATTCTTTTTTTTTTTTTTTTTTGCGGTATGCGGGCCTCTCACTGTTGTGGCCTCTCCCGTTGCGGAGCAGAGGCTCCGGACGCGCAGGCTCAGCGGCCATGGCTCACGGGCCCAGCCGCTCCGCGGCATGTGGGATCTTCCCGGACCAGGGCTCGAACCCGTGTACCCTGCATTGGCAGGCAGATTCTTAACCACTGTGCCACAAGGGAAGCCCTGCAGATGGATTCTTAACCACTGTGCCATCAGGGAAGTCCCAAGCAGAGTACTTTTGTCTTTTCGCATATTCAGTTTGGGACACTGGCAGTTCCAGTGCTGGCTGTCGTTGAGTGGGAATCTTATTCCCAGAGCTTTATAATTTTATCATCTTTGTGTGTAGATCATTAGAAGCACAACCCTCATTCCCTTTTTTATTTTTTTGCTGTTTTTGTTAGAATTTGTGCTAGAATAGATTCAGTTAGGACCAAAGTTCAGACATAACATGTTGATTCAAGGATCAAAGTCCAACAGGAAAAAAGGCTAGAACCATCATGGCAAATCAGTACTGTTTTATTTTTGTGTTGTGTTTAACTAAGGTGCATTCTGTATTGACAGGCCAAATTTGTGTCACTTCTTTTCCAGACTAATGGTCATTATTGGAGAGGAATTATTTGCTAACATAATTACTTTGTGGCATATAATTTTATTGTCTCATAATACATGTTTCAGTATTTGATAATTTTTAGTTGACTAATATAGGGTGATTCATTTGAAACATGTCTATTTTATGTTTTAAAAATAAAATTTATTGTTTTTACTGATGTTTAAAGGTAATACATGATTATTGTTTAAAATACAAAAAAATTTGGAAATGCTTAAAGAGTAAAACTATCCCAGGCCCACAGGTAATATAATCACTGTTAAGTTTGGTTGGTCCTTACAAACTTGTGTGTGTGTGTGTGTGTGTGTGTGTGTGTGTATTTATATACACACACACGCATATATAAATAATAATATATATCTATATGTAGATATGTTTTAATACAAATTGTATTATACTATGCCTGCTTTCTGTAACTTTTAAAAATTTTGATATAGCATACACATTTTTCTATGGTAATTCAGGTGTGCTATGGGTTTTTTTTAAATAGCTGTATAGTATTTTTTAACCAAGCCTTAATCCCTAATTGGTGGGGATTTAACTTGTTTTCTTTTGCTGTTGTTGTTATACAATGGACATCTTTGTATATATATCTGAGTGCTCGTTTATTCTAAGTAAATTCCTAAAAGCATTGCTGGTCAAAGGGTATCTGTATTTTAAAGTGATCTATATTGCCAGATTTTCCTCAAGAAAATGGTATTTACTCCTAACAATGTATGAGAACATCTGTTTCTTCATTGAAATGGACTTCTTCTAGTTAATGTAATCAGCATTAATTTTTTTTTAAGTCTGACAAATTTTTTGTCATAATTTAACTAGCTAGTCCTATATACTAGTTCAGTTCTTAAGGTCTTGATCCTAATGTAAATACTCTACAAAAATCTTACCCTGCATGTCTTTTGTATGATCAATAAAAATAAGAAACTAAATTAAAGACAACTGTATTACAAGAGATAATTCCTTTATAATATAGAGTTAATATTGGAATTGTTACTTTAACTCAGTATAATTTATAGAAATTTCCCATGAGACTTTAAATCCTTGGTCTATTTGCTGAGGCTCTTTGGTATATATCAGCTTATTATTTTTCAAAAGAATTTATTGGTCTGGAAGAGTGCATTAAATTTTCAGAGAGCCATAAAAGTTGAAGCTAAACCACAGGTAAATCTGGAATTTATTTAATTGCATTGGTGGGTAGTTCAAAATGTGTTTTAAATGTAATGTGCACATTTTAAAAATCTCTTTTAAATGAACAGGAAGCTCTGATGAGGAAGGAAGTACTTCAGAATCTGAACTTTGGAAGGGCCCACTACCAGAGACAGATGAAAAATCACAGTAAGTCCTGATAATAGTATTAATAGACAATGATAATGCATACCTTCTACATCAGTCTAGGAAGCTCTGACCACAGCCATTTTTGATAACAGTTAATGAAAAACTTAGCATCATGAATGTCTTTTTAAAGCCAAGGAACACCTAGCCTGCTAAGGTCAGAGTGTATTCCCAGCCATTGTTTATGGCCATAAACAGCCAACTTGTCCAGCTCCCTCTTGGTGAGTAAATCTTTCCTCAGCTCACATTGACAGATGACCCCCTAGTCTTTGCTTTTATTGTTTCAGAGAGATACTGTTTACTAGCTTCCAGAGCAGCCTATCCATGATATTCTTATTATCATAAACCTATACAGGGGAGCCCCTTGAAGATATATACAGGTGTAAACGTTTTCTTGCCAACAGCCACCTTACACCCCAGAGATACACAAGTCAACACATGCATTGTTCTCTGCTATTGGTTGGAAGAGCTATCTGCATATAGGCTGGAATATTATCAGTTCTTCTCATATACTGGGATGTTCACCACTTGAGCTTTATCTGTTGAAAGGGGATAAAATAATACCTACTACATAGAGTTTATTGTGAAGATTTAATAGAATAAAGAATGTAAAGCACCTGGTCTGGCACAATACCTACCAATATAGTAAGTGCTCAATAAATTTTAGTCCCATTTTGTTACTCTAGGCATATTGGTTCATAATAAGAGACCTGTTGAATCAATCATAATTCGCTAATTTAAGCTGATTATAAAACATATTGCTAATTATATAATATGTTCTCAGTGTAATAGAATTCAGGTGTGTTGGAAAGAGTGTTTTTTTTTTTTTTTTTTTTTGTTTTTTTTTAAAAAGATTAGTTTTTTTCTATGACCTTAACCTTTATTTTTGTCAGCCAAGTAAAGAATTCCCAAATGAGTCGTCATTATAGATCAGATTATAAAAAAGGTATCACTATCCTAGTAAAACTATCAACTGAACTTTTGACCATATAACTTTCCCTTGAAGAGCTGAAAATGACAGAACAGGTCTTGGAGTCAACTCACCTTTTTGGCAGTAAAGATACATGAATAAAGCCTAAGAGGGGTTTCATAATCCAAAGCTCTTTGTGACCTTATAAAAACTTGACATCAGGTACTGACATCTAAGTTCACACAGAAATTCAGCTAATTTCATATATTTAAGTTCTTACTACAATTTAAAAAATTCTACTGCATTTTGCTGTCATGCTTGGGAAAAGGGACAGTAGCCAGGAGAATACCAAATTGTAGGTAATTTTAAATCAACTTTATCTGATTCTAGAATTAATTTTTTAAAAATTTGAACATGGTTGTGGTGGCTCTATGCATTCACAATTATTTAAAGCCAAATGATGGAGTCCCATTGTGAATCTCTGATCTAAAAGAACATTTTCTGAAGAGACTGGTGCACAGAATTTGTCCAGCTTGATTCTCTGTTCCCAGAAGGGAGAAAAGCAATTGTACATACATTTAATCTTTAGAACAGCTCTATGAGGAAATGTGATGTTCTTTATTTTACAGATAAGGAAACTGAGCCCAGAGAAGTTAAATAACTTGCTTGCTCAGCAAATAACTGACAGAGCTAGGACTTAAAAAACACTGTCTGACTTGAAAACCTGTGCTATTACTACTGTGGCTCCTAGCACTAATGTTTATTTAGTACTTTACAATTTTCATAATATTTTAACACATTATAGTGTAATATCTCCTTTCAGAGTTCTGTTCTTTGTTTTAGACATAATCTTCACTGCTACAGATACATATTTACTCAGAGTAATAAAATCTGCAGCCTAAGCAGATTTTCCCTATTCCTAGGAGTAAGACTTGTATTTTTCCTTAAAATAGTTTTTTTCATTCATTTTTTGATCAGGCTATAATTTGAAATGAGAATGAACAGAGTAAGTTATAAAGTTAACCAAAAAGTAAAGAGAAGCAATGACATTTCACAAAGTACTTCAAAGTAAAATCTTAGGTAATAAGTATATTTAGGGAGATGTGCCAACATATACAGCATTTTGAATTTAATCAGTCTTGGTATAGTTATGATTATTTTAGAAGCCAAGAATTATTATTTTTTTTGCATTATTATTTATTTTTTTTAACATCTTTGGGGTAACCAAGAATTATTTGATACCTAAATCATGAAATATATTGCTATACAAAAGAATCAGCAAATATGTTGGATTAAAATATTTTTATTAATCTCATATAATGTGCCACCTAGTAATTTTCTTCTCTAATTGTTGATTTTAATCAAATTGTATACTTTTTCTTTTAAATAGGGAAGAAGAATTTGATGAATATTTTCAAGGTTTATTTCTGTGAGATGGAAGAGGGATGCGTACATTCCTTAATGTGAAAGTATACTTTGAAACTCTTCACAGAATTTTGTCTACAAGTTGCAACTTGAGTGGTTTGTCTTTGGAAATAAAAATCCAGCTACTCTCAGGATGTCAGATGCTTTGGAAGTTTTTCAGTTTTATTGGAGGCACTTTTCCCTGTATATCTTTTCAGTTGTTTGTCTACAACTCTGTTCCATCTGTAGCTCCTAAAGTATGGACCTAGTACATCCTCTAGTACAGAGATCCATTGTGCCTATATTTTTGTAGGGTTTTTTTTCCCCCCACTGATTCACACTTATGTTCCCTTGCCTCAGCTTAAACTTTTAGGATTATTGGGGTTTCACAAAATTACAAAGTAGATTAAGTATGTCTTCGAGTACCCCTCTTTTGAGTACCTAGTTTGTCATTAGCTGCCTTTTCCTTTTTTCCTTACATTTCTCTTGCTTCCATCTCACCTCTACCACTTAACGGAGTTTGTTATTAATCAAATTTGATTCCCCAGTGTATGGGTAATTTATTATAAACTAAATTAATACCACAGGGGGCCAAATGAGATTCCAGTAGTCTAAAACAGCAGATGTGTTCATGAAACTTGACTCTTAGCAGAGATTATACAGTAACATAATTTAACTGAACAATACTGTGTGCATAGAGCTTGTCTCAGATACAGTCATACAGATATGGATATATTTATATGCAGAGATATATTGTAAAATGTAACTTTTTTTTATAAATTTATTTATTTTTGGCTGCATTGGGTCTTTGTTGCTGCACGTGGGCTTTCTCTAGTTGCGGTGAGCAGGGGCTACTCTTCGTTGCAGCGCGCGCTTCTCACTGCGGTGGCTTCTCGTTGTGGAGCATGGGCTCTAGGTGCACGGGCTTTAGTAGTTGTGGCACTTGGTCTCAGTAGCTGTGGCTCGCAGGCTCTAGAGAGCAGGCTCAGTAGTTGTGGAGCATGGGCTTAGTTGCTCCGTGGCACGTGCGATCTTCCTGGAGCAGGGATTGAACCCATGTCCCCTGCATTGGCAGGGGTATTCTTAACCACTGTGCCACCAGGGAAGTCCAAAATGTAACTTCTTAATTTGGGGTTCATACCCACAAGAGTCAATGGATGTGCTTCAGGAAATCTAAACACTCCTAGAATCTATGTGTAAACTTCTGTAATTATGTGTGTGTTTTGGGGAAAGGGTCCATAGTTTTCATCAAATTTTCAAAAGGATATATTGATTTTTTTTTCAAAAGGTCAGACCCATTTTTGTAAACAGCCAAGAGATGAATAGAGGAGAAGATGCATGATTTGGTGAGTAAGAGAGGACCTGTAAAAAACGATTGTACCATTCCAATTATTTTGTTGAAGATATGCTATTTTAAATGACATTTAGACATGGAATGATTGGCATTAAACTGTAAAATAGGCAATTATAGTATCTTATTTTTAAATAGTGTCAGAGATTATCTTTTTATTAAACAGTTGTTATTCATTAAATATCATGCTTCTGTTATGTGTGAGACACTGTGCTACAAAAGTATCTAGGAAATAATTATGCAGTCATTTCTAAACCATCAGAAAACAGTAAATCAGTGTTGGTTTATTAACCAACAGATAAGTGAACAATTTTGTTTTGTCGTTTTCAGCTCACAACTTTTAGTGAAAAAGAATCTTGATTTCTGAGGAAAGTATTGAAATGTCCAGCAGCAAAACTGATATTAGTAATAGAATATATGAAGCTAAAACATTTTATGATAAAAATAGTTTATTGGTCATCAGAAAATAAAATTCCTGCAAAACTAAACAGTGACTAGGAAGAATATTTAAAGACCCTTTTAAAATAGATCCATATATTTGGTATTGCAAGTATGGTTTATGGACATTAAGTTCATTTATAAATTTAGATCATTATATGTAATCAGTGTTTAATCCATTCATACACAATGGCAGATAATGGGAGTCATATTTTAAAGGAGTCTTTGAAAAGGCCTCAAGATGATGCGTTTAAAGATTTCTTTTAATTTAATTTTTATTTTATATTACAGTTGACTTACAGCACTGTGTTAGTTTCAGGTGTACAGCTGAGTGATTCAGTTATACATATACATATATCCATTCTTCTTCAGATTCTTCCCCCGCATAGGTTATTACAGAATATTGAGTAGATTTCCCTGTACTATATAGTAGGCCCTTGCTGATTATCTATTATCTAGAGTTTAAACATTAATTCTCCAGCAGACCTATCTTAATCTTGGCTGTAGTGTAGTCAGTGGTGTTCAGCGGACCATAGGTTTGGGATATAAAGTTATGCTTTCTTATACTTGCTCTTAAGCAAAGTTCCTATTTTTGCAGACCTCCTCATCTCTGCCCCTCAGTTCGTTTTCTAGTGAATGAGGAGAGGAAGTTGTTTGAGCTGACTGATATTTTGGGGTCTAAAATTATATAAGGCTTAAAGGAAGAGGGTTTCTTATACAGTTTCTAAAATAATCCTAGAAGTGTGGTTTCAAAATTATTTTAAGCAATGAAAATAAGATGTACATATATCACCAAAGGTGATAACATATAGACAAGGATCATTTGGGTGTATATACTGAGTTTTTTTCTCCCTAAAGATATTTTATTAACTTCCAGGCACTCTTCATTTATATCTGTTTGTTACAATATTTATTCAAAATATTATTCATTCATGTTTACTGAGTGCCTACCTTGTGCCAGGCACTACTCTAAGTGTGAGCATAGCAATGTGAACAAAGCAGACAAAAAGAGGCAAAAAATCTTTCCTCTCGTGAACCTTATATTCTAATATGAGAGGAAGAATCTTATAATTCTAAAGTAACTGACTTACTTGTAAAAATATAACAAATGGTGATTTATTTCTCAACTGCTTAAAACTGAACACTATCTTCTCTATAACAAAACATTTGAGGTTCAGAGACCATTATAATTTAGATATGTTTTACAAGGAAATCTGTGGTATAAATATTTGGTCTGTTTTATAATTTGGTCATTACAGATAAGAAAGAAATCTTCTCTGATGTACAGATGTGTACCATGTAGTAGTAGTTGATTAGTTTCTCTTGACAAGTCAGTATTTAGAATTCCTGGTAGACAGTCCTAGTAATTTTTTTTTTTTTTTTTTTGCGGTACACGGGCCTCTCACTGTTGTGGCCTCTCACATTGCGTAGCACAGGCTCAGCGGCCATGGCTCATGGGCCCAGCCGCTCCGCGGCATGTGGGCTCTTCCCGGACCGGGGCATGAACCCGTGTCCCCTGCATCAGCAGGCAGAGTCTCAACCACTGCGCCACCAGGGAAGTCCCCTAGTAATCATTTTTAAAAGTAATCTCTGTTAAAAGTCCTTCTGAACTGTTTTTGATAGTAAAGTTTTTGCATAATCAAATCACATGCTTCTTAATAATGCATAATATTTATTAGCTGATTTAACTTGCATTAGGATTATCCAGGTAATGTCTTATAAATTGATAATTCTTTCAGTGAGAAGAATAGTTCTGAATGTAAGAATGTATTCTTAGTTACACATAAAATAATTGATTTCAGACTTGGGGGAAAGGATGGGTGTAGGATGACGATGTACTTTTAAGCTGCTACAAGTGGTGTGGTCTTTATTATCAAGGGTAAAAAGTGGAGGAAAGAAGCATTTCAGATGGAATAACATTTAACATCCTTTTTCTTTGTTTCTTATATAGTACTTACATACGTTACACATTCTATACTCTATTTACTCTTACATTAAGACATGTTGACGAGAGACTTTTGATTCAGGAAGGGATGAGGTGTGAATCATTATTATTAATGTTTTGGTTGAACTGTGTCCCATCTGAAATTCCTATGTTGAAATCCTGACCACGGTACCTTAGAATGCAGCTGTATTTGTAGATAGCGCATTTAAAGAGGTAGTTAAGGTAAAATGAGGTCATATGAGTGGGTCCTAATCCTATATGAGTGGTGTCCTTATAAGAAGAATGAGGACGCAGACCCACAAGAGGGAAGACTGAAGACCAGTTGAAGACACAGGGAGAAAGAAGATGGCCATTGACAAGCCAAGGAGAGAGGCATCACAAGAAACCAACCCTGCCAGCACCTTAATCTTGGACTTCTAGTCTCCAGAATTGTGAGAAAATAAATTTCTGTTGTTAAAGCCACCCAGTCTGGGGCATTTTGCTGTAAGTAGCCCTAGTAAATGAATACAGTTAATAAGAACCTTTAAAAAAAAAAATTGGTGACTAATTTCAGGATTATATTATTTTTAATTTAAAACAAATTGGCACCAAAAATGCACTTATTTTTGTCTTATTTTGCATTTCTGTTGAACTTTATTTTACCCTCAGGGCTTTTAGGCTAGCAGTATATTTTCTCATGCTAGTCACAGGGTAGCTTTTCTGAAGATTCTCTTACTCTGTTAGTTGATGGTTTGATGAATGAAATTTGCTGATGTTCTTTTGAATGTTTTCTTGTTGTCTTCAAATGTAGAAACAATATTTGAAATTTAGGCCAGTTGGACTGTATTACAGCATTAGACATGTTTTGGACTTTTTGTCATCACCACCACCTCCTGAATCTTCTGCAGCTAGTAAAAAGGAGAAAAGCAGTATTATTGGGAGTCAGTGGATATACAGTGTTTTTTCCTAATATTAGTGTAACTTTATAGCCTACTTCATAGTTTTAACCTACAGCAAGTACTAAGGGTTTGACCATTTAAAAACTTGAATTCATATTCAGAATTAGTCCATTTAGAAAATAAAATCTAATAAATGATTAGCCAGTTAACGTCTCAGTTTCACAGAAGAACCACTGAACTATGCAATCCGGGAATCTGAGTTGTTGCTTTGTGCCAAGCACAGAGCTTGTTGCCAGGAGATAAAATAATATTAGTTTACAGAGACTTCTCAGTGTAGTAGGAAAAAAATTTGGAAGTAATTGTTTATGTAAATAAGGATAGAAGATCCATATCCAATATACTGAAAACTTTTTAAAAAGTTAGGAGCCACTTAAAGGGCTTGATAACCTGTTCATCATAAAATTGAGGTAAAGATGAATTGTACTAAGAAATACCTTTTCTTTTCACTTGCCCAGTAAAAATGACCATTTTTGTTACCTTTTTGAAGTGCAAATCAGATGTTCTCTCTTTCCTGTTTAAATCCCTTTAAGGATTTCCCAGTGCTCTCTGGAGGACAAATCCTTAGCAAGGCCTTCAAGGCAACACACTGTCTGGCAGAGCTGCCTGCATTCCCAGCTTCATCTGGCACTTTGCCCGCCTTTGTAGCTCTCTAGACTCCAGCTACACCAGTTTTTAAGTTCTTTAATTGCACCAAGCTTATTTCCACTTCAAGGCCTTTGTGCACATTCTGTTCTTTCCTCTCCAACTCCTCCTCCTGTCTCTGCTTAGGCAAAGATTACGTAGTCTTACGTTTAGCATAAGCATCCTTTAAGAAAGCCTTCCCGGTTAGCATAAGCATCCTTTAGGAAAGTCTTCCCAGATGCCTCAGGTACATACCTCATGCTTCCTCCGATAGTTATAGTTAGATAATCAATTGTTCATTTGATAGTTTGTCTAGCTCCCCCACCAGGTGGTAAGCTCTAGGAGATAAGGACCCCATCATACAGACTACACACCCAATAAATATGTAAATGGATGTATATCCCAGAGTCAGTAACTCCTGTTTTTATTCTGTTGAAGGCTATCCTTAACCCTTTAAGCAAAATGCTTTCTCCCTCTATGAATTCTTTAAAATACCGCTAAATATAAGAACCATCTAAAAAGAATGTTGCATCTTTTTTTTACAGGGCCTTTCCAGATAGAGATGATTTCTTTGTTAAACAAAAAGAATTTCTTACAAAACCTTTTGAGTGTTGAGCTCTTAAGACAAAATATAAAATCATGATATTAGTATTCCACTTTCCAGATGACGTTTGAGGCATCTGATGAACTAATAGGTGATCCTAAGCATCTTAACAGAGGCTTTCTGAAGATTATCTTCAACCTAACTGAGTGACTTTAGGAGTAGAAATTTCATCAGGATAAACAGCACTAAGTAGAGACATCTAAGGCATAGGCAAAGTCTCGGGGTACCGGTCAAGTCACCCCAATCAGCTGACCAGCTTTACATCTCGGGCTTCCTTAGGTCTGGAAGTGAGGCTGGAGATCTGTAAAACCTTCTCATTATCTGGAGAGGAACATTAAGCTCAGACAGGTTAAGCAAGATGCCCAAAGTCTCACAGCTAATGCATAATGTTAGGACTAAAATTATTTTCTCACCTAATCCTGATTGATCCCACTGATTGTATGGTTTTC